TGTCGGTAGGTCGCAGCGGGGATATAATTGATTATCGGCGCGCAGATTCGGCAGCATTTCGAAGCGGTCGTCGGGCGCGTCTTCTCACGTCCATACGCTGGCGATAATTAAGCCGCAGGCGGCAGGCGTCCAAACAATCCGCTTCCGTCCGCGCGCACAATGGTCGCCTAGCAGATAGCGCGCGTTTCTTTTTGTCTCCCGGTTTTCCAAACGCGCCGTCGCGCGGAAATTTTAATGCGCCTGTGCGTTGCGCTCGGCAGTTGGAAAACGCGCAAACGTCGTCCCATTGTCCGCGAGGCGCAACGAAATCCGGCGAGTTTCGCACAATTAGCGTCGCGCAGTCGTGAGGAGAGACGCGGCTATGGGGAAACAGAGGAGGATGACTGGCGGCCTTCCATTCGGGAGAAACGGAAGATGAGGCTCCCCGTGCTTAGTCAGCAAGGGCCAATATGTAAATCCGTCGGCTTAGGACAATCTGCACATGACTCTACACTCGCAGCCAAGCAGCCTAGTCGAGGGGGCGGCAACTCGCATGCTGTGCTCCCTCGCTTACGCACAGGTGCCTACAGGTGCGCCCAAGGTCGCCAGGGCCAAACATTTGGGACATACACTTGTGGTATTATGGTCGGTCCCCAGCAGCGAGCCCAGGTATGCGGGACCTCTTCATGGCATAATGAGACGAAACAGCCGTCCGACGAGTGGTATATGACACGATTTAAACCCGCTGATCATAAATTTCGCACGTACGTGCCTTATGCCCTGGACGACCTCTTTAAGCGTGTCCTGCCCCTTAATTTTCCGCGGACGATGGATGCAGAGACGTATGTCTTAAGGCACCCCACGATCATCCTCGTAAAAGAAACAATCGTCGTAAGCTGCAGCTCTCTCTCTCTCTCTCTCTCTCTTTCACTCACTCACTCTCTGTTTTTCTCTGCATGGTCTGCGAAAATATATTGCTCTACGTTTTACGACCGAAACGAAACAACGGTTGGACCTAAGATTTTTTTTTCTCGTGAGTTGGGAAATTGGACGGGTCGCCATATTTTTACTGCCGATTTTGCAGAAAATCTCTTCAACATCTATGTGTTTACTCAGTTCAAAAAAAAAACAGAAACTGGAAGGAAGAATGACGAAACGGATTACCGTCCTGGAGGACAAACTACAGCTAGCGCAGATCTTTTCACTGCGATATGTTCAGATTTTAACTGCGTGTAAAGTAGAGATGCGGATCAGCTACCCTGTAAGAACAGCTACTTTCAAGCTATACATCGAGGCATGAGCACAAATGAATTATGGAAGAAAATTAAAAATAGAAACTAAGGGTCGGCACAATAATCCTGCATTCTAATGAGGACCCCCCGGATAAATAATTGGTGAGGTACCATAAACGCCTACCGGAGAAATCCATTGACACGGCATTGTTTACCTTTAAGCTTAGCCAGGACTCAAGATTTTCTTTTACATGTATTTGAATAGATTTTGACAACTTTCTACTGCCGATCTTCAAAACTTTATTTTTGTCATCCAAATATAACTGTTTTCACCATTTCTTCCAACGTTAATGATGATATAAGTTTGAATATCCTGTTTCTTAATGTCCTACATAATTGACGTAGCAAGGGATTTTCAAAAGATATTGATAGTTCTCATCTCTGCATCGTATATATTCAAATTAACAATAGAAGAAGAAAGTTAAGTCATTTTAAGAAATAGTTGCCTGAATCGTAAGTTGTTATAAAAATTAAAATTATTTTGTTTAACGTCGCTTTATTTATGTTCCATCAGTGCTAATCAACGACGGAGGCTTGCAATGTGTTTGAGAATAAAGCACATAAAACTTTTTTCAGTGGTGCTTGTATTAATCAGCAGGGACTGGGAATCGAACCTGGGCCTACCGCGTGCGAGTTCGTCGCCCTACCGACCGAGCCATTGCAGGCCTCTATCCAATTTAACTGTGGATGCATAGCATCGATAATTAAGTTTAAATAAAAATAAAAAAAGAGTAGCATTGAAAAATACATTGACAATACGATTTATCGCAATTGAAAGACCGTAAAAAACAAGCTGACTTGGACGCGAATATCTCATGCAGATCCAGAAAAAGCCCACGGCTCGCGCATAAAATAGAGCAATAATCTGTTGACGATGAGGCTCACAGAAATAAACGAAGTGGTTATTCAATTGCCAGCGGCAGACTTGTACCATCTTAATCTCTTCATTTCGATGATGTTAACAGTGTTAATATGAGGTTTCTTGTTTTTCTTGAAAACCGATACGAGAATAGCTAACGCGCGAATGTAAATCATAAAAGCGTTAGTCGGGTCGATATCTTTATCATCAATTATCGCGCGCACGCGCCTGCGCTAGAAAAGAAAGTCCAAGTAAAAATCTAAGTCGCATGCGAGCTGCCGACGGCCGCCGCCGCCGCCGCAACTGTCGTAGTTGTATCACAGGGAATCGCTTTATAAATCAATTAGCATGCTCGCCAATCGCGATATCCGCCTAATAGCTGTACTCGTGTGCATGGCATTGACAAGGGAAACATTAGACGACGTTCGAGAGGTGCCTAGCCGGTGATAAAGAACGTCGAATCAGTGCAGATAGGCGAGGTACTTGAACAGCAGCGATAAAGCTTTTGGCGTTAAGCAGATCTTGTTGGGACGAAGGACGGGGGTGAATAGAGCGGCAGTAAACTTTCGTTGACCAGGATCGCTGACAATCGGACTGTACACCGAGGTCCTTGGCAGCTATATTACGTGTCCACACACACACACACCCGCGCGCACCCCCACACGCGCACACACATAGATACACGGAGAGAGAGAAGACCATTGGAGAGTGGAGAAAGGAGTTCGGGCGCGAGCGAGATGAGAAAAGAGAGGGGAGCGTCGGAAAAGATCGCACGAGAAGAAAAGAGCGAGAAAGAGAGAGAGAGGGTCCGGTGGGCTGGTACCCAAGGTTATGGAGGTGGCCAAGTAGGTGGGACTCCGTTGAGCCTCGGCCTCTTCTTTCTCTGTGTCGAGTTCTCGAGCTCAGTCTGGCTGCGACTGTATCGGCCAACGCACATCTTCTTAGTCTCCCTCGCTCTCCTCGTCGCGCGCACGCACACTATTGACTTGACCGCAAGTTGAATGACACCATGTGTTGAGCTCATTGGGTTAGGAGCGCGGTAGTTCGTCTAGAAGTTCCTTCTTGTGCAGTGCTAATATATAACGAGGGCCTCCAGTGCAACCTTGCATTCGATCGGCGAATCGTGCAGTGTACACACGTTCTATCATCAGTGACGTTTGCATGCGACCATCAGTGCGATTTTTTGCTTTCTTTTTTTTGCCCGTGCACGATTGTGTTCCATCTGTTTTCTCGACTGCTCTTTGGAGAACATCTTGATCATCCAGTGCTCTGGCCTTGGCATCGTTACCACACCTAATAGGTAAGAATACATTTTCCTACATCTTGTTTTCGTATTTGTAAATGTCGAACCTACTCGATCGTTCAATTAGCAAATCCGTTCAAAGGATATGTAATGACGAAGTATTCTTACGCGATATTTTTTATATGAATTATTTCAACGATTCATTAATAGAAGCCTTTCGGCTGGGCTTGCTTACTGGACTTATCCGAAATATCAACCCGGCAACCCTTAAGTTACACGCTCGGAATGGACCTGAAATATCTGCAAATAATCCAATCTAATAAAGCACTGAATTGTTTATCGTTGAACTGAGAAAAAACAAGCACAGCATTGAAAAGGACGGAATGAGGAGGGACGGGTAGAGATTTTCATAACCCTAATAGTCTCGGATGTAGCGCATCTCGTAGATCTTACGCACGAAAGATGGTATATTTAGATTGTCCTTGGCGGAATGTTTAGCGCACAACCCCCTTTTGCCCGAAGCGTCCTCCGTATATGCGTTCTCTTCGTCGTGTGCGAACGTTTGAAGACATGCTCCCCCCCCCCCCCCTCACAAGCCCCCATTACCAATTGCACGCACTTCCACCCCACGACGACGCGTTCGCCTGCATTTCTCTGTAGACAATGTGGCCCACTCGTAATTGCAGCAATTAAACTCATCATCTTAACTGTTATTTTCATTCGATATGCCGTTTCATTCATTATCGTATCTCGCTGGCGGCAGCTAATTCTTTATCGGATTGCGGTTTTCCTGCTTTAAGGCAATTATATTTCTTGCTAGTAGGATAATTCTCGATGGACATGGCAAGCATTTGACTCGCTAAGATTTATCTATAATAAGTATTACCCGCAGCTTAGGCATTTCTTAATGACAATTACAGTTACCGCGCACAAATACAAGTTAATCGCGTTCCTATTTCCACGTATTTTCCTTTATAATCCTCGACAAAGGTAGATGTGGAAACGATATACGTATTTCGGTATATTGGTAACGGCGATCAGCTATCGCGCTGACAATCAGACGTGGAAGCGGTGGACCGACAAAGACGAGAGTGGGATCGGTGGCAACAGGTCTGTTGACAGTGGCGTGCGAAAATTGCGGTCGATCGGCAAGCGAACGCACTGGGGAAGCGCGCCCCAGTGTATTCGCGAGGGGTGCGCGAGTATAGGTCCGGCAAATCGTGGAGAGAATTTCAGACCATCGGTACAGCCGCGAGATGTGCGTGCACGCGCTCGCATGCACATAGCGCGTAGCGGCGGCGCGGAGAAGGTTAGGGGGTTGGCAAGCGCTGTCCAGGTCATAAGTAAAACCGCGCGCGCGGTGGTGAGTTAGACACGCTCAGTGAGTGCTCTACCGGCACGCGCGTGGAGGAGGTACAGTGGGCGTTCTACGCGTGGAGAAAGAGAGAGAGAGAGAGAGGGCACGAGCGCGTGCATCGGGGCACTCAACTCCCGTGAGCGAGAAAAGGACGCGGCGAGCGGCGACGTGGTGGGGGCAGGCAGGAGATAGGGGAAGTGGCGCGAGAGCGGTGGTGGTGGCAGAGAAGCGGCGCGTTTACGAACGGAGGGGCGCCCGAACGTCACACCGGCGCGCATTCACTCACCGGCCGTCGGCGACCAAGGCCGCACCACGCACCCACGCACAGTCGACGAGCTGACGTGCGCCACGCTCCGCGCGACAGCAGCAGCAGCCCAGCAGCATCCAGTTTTAGTTTTTTTGTGTTTTTCAGTTTTGTTTCATCCAAATTGCAAAGTAAGTGACGCGCCCTCTTCGGTCTTTTCGGCAGTCGTTTGTGTTCGTCCCATTCCTTCTCCGCCTTCGCCTGTGACACGCGTGTGTGATAACAGTGCGGCTGCGCTTGCATTTTTACCGCTTCGACGTGTTCGAGTGCGTGCCTACTCTGTCAAGAAAGTGTTTTTGTTCGCCGTTGTTTCGCCAATCGAGACTGCGACGCACTCACGTCAACAAATCGTCAGCAGCAAGCACATGAAGATCGTTTCGCATTCGTAGATGCGCCCAACAGTCGTGAGTTCCATATCTTCATTTCGCACTTTACGACAGAGCGTCTTCGCGACGAGTGTTTACGTTGCCGCGATTACGGATTGGCCGGAAAATTTTTACGATACCGTAGACGATCGCGAGCGCTTCGCGGTTGCGCGCTCTGTTGTACACAATCATCGATATCGCATCTTCAACTTGCCGCGGACTACTTCAGCGAATGCAAAGTTTTATTAAACACATTTCAAAAACTGAACTTCCTACGGGATACGCTTGACTTTCAGCGACTTGAGTGTTTGCTTCAAAATATTTGCTTTGCAATGTTTGCTCTGAAACACCTTGCATTCGACTCTCAGAGAATATGTAATTTTTCTATAACATTTTGCTATACTTTCATTTGCGTTTGTTTGTTTAACCCCGCGGACAAATAAAATTTGCAACATTTTTTTGCAAACACTTGATGCATGTTTAGAATTCTCATTGGTTTGTTTCTTCGAAAGAGCATAATGCGAATAAAAACAAAAGTGTCGAACGGATAGACAATCAATTGATAGTATGTAGCCGTTGCATCGAGTCAAAGGCAAAGCGGAATGGAAATTCAGCCAGCAAAGGGGGTTAAACGTCAGCTGATCATCCGAAAATAGAGGGAGGATACTAGGCACCGTTACTAGCGTACGCACACAGAGGCGCAGCGGCCAATTGGGAGTAGGGAGACGCGGGATCGTCTTTTCGTTGCTCGCTCGCTCGCTCGCTCGCTTTGGCGAACAATCGTGACCGCCACATTTTCTCCGGCACGTGACGGACGTGGGCGAACTCGAGTATCGCGTTTCCCGTGCAAATCGAAAGAAAAAAACAACGAGCATCGGAAAAAGAATGTCGCGCAGCCGCGTGGATCGCGTTTCCCGATTGTTTCATTTGCAGCGAGCTGATTTTCGCGAGATGTGTATCGAGGGAGGCGCTTTTTTGCGCGCAAGGGAGAAGATTGTTATTACGAAGAGGGAGAGAGAGATGTTGCCTCGGGACTCGCGTTTCCCATGTCGACGTGTATCCAGCTTGAGGATTTTGTGTTATGTAATAGCGCTATTTTTTCCCTTTGATTATGACGAACGCGAGAGAGCTTCGTATTAAGATTTCTTCTCATACCGACTGACGTTTTTCGCCCCCATTTCAAACTCGACATCTCATTTACTTAGCATTATTCGTTTACGCTTATCCACGCGAATATTGCACCTCGAGCTACTCTTTGCGAGTGCTTTGCCACGAATACGTCGCTAGTACTCTAGAGAGGATTTCATTTGCTTTCGCGCGCACAACCGAAAATCGACAAAAGAATTTGGCAATTCTTTTTGTTTTTGCAAATCACGCGAGCGAAACTCTCTTCCGTTAATGTTTATCCGTTTATCGCTATCGGGCTACCGTCGACAAGCGCGCTCGGCTTCATTAAACCCACCCAAAAGGAGGAAAGGCGGCCACTGTTTCTGTCCTCGCGATTAAATTTGCAAATGCTCGAAAGCTTCAACGCGGGCAAAAAAAAATTTGCGGAAACTCCAGCTTGGCGCTCCGTTAACATTAGAGAGCAGACTTGAAATTGAAACTTGAAGTTTGCCTCGTACGAGCCCACGCACACGGGGGACAACAGCGAGGGCGAATTACACCATGACTTTTTTCGCGATTGACACGTCAGCGCTAATCTTGCGTATGCGTGTACAAGTGTCGGTTCAACAACAAAGTTCGCCGGCTGAGCTTAGAGTTAAGCTCCCTCCTCCTCCTCCTCCCCCTCCTCCTCCTCTTCGCAAACGTCCGGAGCTTTTTACGCCATTTACGAGTCTTTCAAACTGTAAACTCTCATTTATCAGCGTTTTGTACTTGCCGATTCTCCTTTTAAAAATGCACCCGATCAGGTTTTTAACTATTCTTCACGTTGGCCCACCGATCATGCACACTCGCATTGTACGATTGCTGTGTTTCGGGCGTAAAGATTAAATGTACGGCAATCTCGAGTCAATTAACTAACAGGTGTGGAGTATTTCGACGAAACGTCAACGCGTTATTTTTCGCGGAACTGAGTTTGAAATGGTAAAAATGAGTACAATAAATTGGACGCTTATACAAATTGCAGCTGCGACTAAATTGCATTTGCGACATACGTAGATAGAAATGGGTATGGGAAGGCAACGCGAGAAATTCCACGGCGTCGAGGAAGGGAAAAATATCCGCGTTAATGCGTCACACTTGCTCGACATATTGCGAAACTGCATGTAAATAGTATAGATTTTTCTCATTTGTTTGTTTTTCTTCTTTCGGCGGCGCCTTCATCGACGCCTTTGTTCGCGTCGTGTTTAGAAAACATCCGTCAAGAGACGGCCATCTAGAAAATGAGTTCATTGACCTCCTCTGTTGTCGGGAGATAATCGAATCATCATTGGTTCCCTGATAGTCAAGACACCCAGAGTTGAGTTGTCGAAGATTATCCCAAGTTTTGAAAGCATCCGGATCGGCGTGCCGACAGAGGGCGGAGAGGGCCACATGAGCCGAGTCAGGGGGGGGGGGGCTCGACATCACAGCGCGCGCTCTCGCTTTCACTCTGCGGCCTGCTGTGCACTTTCGTCTTTCGCGCGCCGCCGCCGCCGCCGCCGCCGCCGCCGCCGCCGCCGTTCGCGCGAAAATTGACAGTCTCGCGCTCGCGCCTGTCATTACGATCCGTTAAATCATTAAGCCAATAGATGCCGGCTCGAGCCGACGCGCGTTACGCTCAGCCGCTCTATTGTTTTGCTGGCAATTTGCGGCCGCCGCGGCAAAAGGCAAAATCGCTTAACGCTCTCACTAGGAGCTCCGACTCGGTCCACCCCCGCCCGCGAGTCCACTCTCCGATTATCGTTTCTCCTGCACTCGCTCGATGGACAATTGATCGCCAGTGAAAACTACAACGTAGCACGTCTGATTGCAGAAAAACGCCGCCGGTGAACGTGAAAGCAACACGGGCTTGATCAAGTGCATGGAAGTGCTGCGTACAGTCGAGAGCAAACCCTACGCGAGATAGTAGACAGACAACTGCTGGAGACTGCACCTGCATTAGTGCGAGGCGATCGCGTATCGGCTGTAAATGTCACGTTCCTCGAGTCCCAGCGTCATGGCATTGCAGTCGCACTATTCGCTCAGATGGAATAACCACCAGTCCCACATACTCCAGGCCTTCGAAGGGCTGTTGCAAGAAGAGGTGCTCGTCGACGTTACTCTCGTATGCTCGGAAGCTAGCCTCAAGGCGCACAAAGTAGTCCTCGGCGTGTGCAGGTAATTCTCCCCGTCCGTCCTCCGCCGCCGTCCGACCGAGGCGCGCCCGAAATAATCCGCCTTGTCTCTGCTTCGGATTTGCAGTCCCTTCTTCGAGAGGATATTCACGGAACACCCGTGCAAGCACCCGATCATAGTGCTCAAGGACTTCACCGCCCGAGAGATCGGCGCCCTCATCGAATTCATGTACCGCGGCGAGGTGCGCGTGGAGCGCGACGAGCTCGCAGGCCTGATGCGGGCTGCGGAGTGCCTGCAGATCCGGGGGCTCGCGTCCGTGGAGCCGAGACCGGCCAGCACGCCGTCGACGCCCTGCACGCTGGTGGAGGAGCCGGAGACGCCCGAGTGCCAGCCGGCGACCACCGGCGAGCTCGCCGACGAGGACGAGGACATGCCGATCAACTCGACGCCCATCTACGTGAGGCCTCGCCAGGACGCCACCGTCGGAGCCCACCGGCTTCGCCACATCCGGCAACACCAAGCGCAGCTGCCGCCGGGCTTCCGGGCGCACGAGGAATGCGAGTCACCGCTGCCTAGGCGCAAGCAGGCGCGCCCGAGGCGGAGGTCCGGCGACCTGCCGCAGGACCTCAGCAGCAGGAACCAGCCGCGGGCGAGCCTCAGCCCGCCCAGCGCGGGACTCAACCTCTCCAACAGCTCGCATCGAGAGTCGCCCTCGTCGTCGCGCTCGCGCTCGAGGCAGCACTCGCAGGAGCGCTCGCCGTCCAGCCACTCGTCGCACCAGCGGCACCAGTCGGACCAGCTGCACCAGCAGCAGCAGCAGCAGCAGCAGCAGCAACTCCACCACCACCACCACCACCACCACCACCACCCGCCGCAGCAGCATCACCACCACCATCAGCACGTGCAGCGCCAGCAGCCGCACCAACACCAACTGCAGCAGCACCAGCACCAACTGCAGCAGCAGCACCAGCACCACCAACAGCTCCAGCAGCTCCAGCAACAGTCGCGCGCGACGCCGCGCCCGCACCGGCACAACAACCAACACCACTCCGGGGACGAGGCGGAGAACCTCTCGATGAAGAGAGAGCCGAAGCTGTCGCACTCACCGGCCGGCTCGCTGGTCAAGAGCGAGAGCGAGGCCGCGAGCAGCCCGCGCGGCTCGCCGCTCGTCGGCAGCCAGAGCAGCCTGCAGCGCGAGGCGCACTTCGCCGACCTGCAGGCCGCGGCACTGCCGGCCATGGCGGCGCTGTCGCTGGCGCCGTCGCAGCACCACAGCAGCGAGTACCTGGCGAGCCTCGGCCAGTTCGCGGCCCAGTGGCTGCCCGGCCACCCGAACCACCTGCCGCCGCGGCACCCGCGGGACGACAGTCCCCACCCGAGCAACGCGCACAAGCCCGGCGGCGCCGCGGCGAGCTTCGCCTTCGGCCAGTCGCCCAGCGAGTCGCCGCTGGCCGGCCGCAGCGCCTTCCCCATCGACGGCATCACCGGGCCCCTGGGCGCCGGCCTCTTCCCGCACGGCTCGGCGATCGATCTGCACGAGCCCTTCAAGCCCGAGACCTTCCACGGGCTGTTCGTCGGCGCGGGCATGAGCCACCCCAACCCCGGCAAGAAGCCCAAGAGGTCCAGGGGCGAAGGCATGGCGGCGCGCCGCTGGAGCGACCACCCCCGCGGCCCGTCCGCCTGCCGCCCCAAGGGCCAGCACAGCGCGCCCAGGGGCGGCCCGCCGCGCTCCTGGACGAACGGCGACCTCACCGAGGCCCTCACCATGGTCTGGAACAAGAAGATGACCACGTCGCAGGCCAGCCGCGTCTACGGCATCCCTTACAACAGCCTGCTGATGTACGTGCGCGGCAAGTACGGCAAGAGCCTCAAGCTCGAGCAGCTCAGAAGGGACTGCACCGGCGAGGGGATGAACAGCCTGAACAACAACGTGAAGCCGCCGCTGGACCCGGCGCACATGGGCGCGGGCACGTCCGACGGCGGCCTCGAGACGCAGACCTTCGCGCCCCACCCCGTCATGCCCGGGGGCATCCCCCAGAACTACTACCCGGAGTACCCCAACTACCCGGTGCCGGTGAACATGGTGCACTTGCTGGCGCCCAGCGAGCAGGCCAACGGGCCGCCGCCAAGCCCGGGTGACCAGCACATGCAGCAGCAGCAGCAGCAACGACCGCGATCGCGGTCGCAGCCGCAGCGGCCGCGGTCGCAGCCCCAGCGGCCGCGGTCGCAGCCGCAGCAGCAGCCGATACAGCAGCAGCCAATGCAGCTGTCCAAGAGCAGGAGCCCGTCGCCGACGCCGGAGGCGCCTCCGCCACCGATGCAGAATGGTACCGACTGAGAGTCGAGGAGTGCAGCCGGGCACCGGCAGCAGTGGCCGCCGTCTGCCGACGATTGGGCAGTCGCCGCCGCTGCTGCCGCAGCCGCAGCCGCCGCAGCCTCCATTCCGCCCACAAGACTGAAATCGCACCTCCAGGGTAACAAGCACGACAACCTTCTCTCACCCGAGACTCTGCTCTACTATTGTAATTACTAAGCGCCGTCGGCCCCAGCCACAACTCACTGTAGATATGATTGTACCTTAATTTTGACGTTTTCCGACTAATTTTTATCACATTACCACTGTGCGATTTTCATGTTCTTTTTTTTTCTTTTTTTTTTTTATATATTTTTTAAATAATCTCTTATTGCTGCGAAGTTTTTATTTGTGCTGCACTGTGAATGTCGTACTTTTGTTAGAGTGCGCACCGGAATGTGCAACAGTGTACAAGTTTTTTAATCAGCGGCTATACGAGATTTTTTATTTAGATTTTATACAGATATATTATATATAAATATATATATATATATAAATATTTATCAGGAGATGGCCAGCAAGAGTACGACCTTCGCTAGCAACTTTTATTAAGCTCTACTTCTCTCAAGTATTGTTTAAAGTTTGATCAAAGTCTTCGCGTGTTTAGTTTGTATACGAAACTCACGCACTCGCCCCGATATACTTCTCCGTCGACTGCAAACTTGAACCAAACGAGCGCAACTCCGACGTACGAGCCCATGCTTCGTACGCAACAATAGTCCTCTATTGAGGTCCAGCCACATCTTCAACGGTGACAAAAGGGATTCGTTTTATCCGCATATATACTACAGACTCACTCAACACTACGAAAAGATACTTGTAAATAACTATATTAACTGCAGAGCGTTATTTTTTCTATACAACTTTTTGCCGGTCAAACACGCGCAGAATCGCACGCTCGGAGCTGCGCTCGTCCCATAGCACAATATTCCACGCAACACTCATCGATAACAGTTCCTGCCGCGCTCACCGATCATTATAACCAAATAATAAAATGACAAACTGACCCATTCGAGTTCGACGAGAATGTGATGCAAGATTTACGAACAACGCGCGCCGTGCGTCGCCGCTGCGTATAACTGATTTTAAAGAAATATTAGCCGACATTTATTCAAAACATTTTAGGCTATAATTTTCAAATTATTCATATTTTGATAAGTTTTAGTTTTGATTTTATTTCTTTCTTTGTTTGTTTTTGTTTCTTTTTCCAGTTTTTCACGTGTTCGGTTGCGCGTTCTAAAGTCGCGATCAGCCAAGTGAGAGTAATCATTAGTTCTTCCAGTTTGCGCCAAAATGAAAGCGCTGGAGCTTTCTTTTTCTTGTAAAGCTCCTTTTTTTTTGTGTTTTAGTAAATATAATTGTCCCAATGTTTTGTCGTTGAACATAACAACTGCCTTTCGTTTGTTCTATCGTGAATTAATTATTAGTTGAACCTTTGAAGTACTTTTGAACATTTATTTGATTTGATATAACATAAAGGTGCAATACACGCGGTTTGCATAGTATATAGATTTGGATCGAAATAAATACTCGATTTGTTTACGCAATTGAGGGAATAGTGCAATAACGCTGCATGCCTCGATAGTAAAGTTAACTGTATGAATATTTTCGAGTTTTCAAATTGTTTATCATTTATTACGATCGTCTATAATTGCGAAGTATGCCTTTGTTCCCTCGTAAGATTGCGAGTGTGCGCCCGAAACGGTCGGAAAGGTGAGAAAAACCAGATTCACTGTGAAACTTGGATGGATTTTTGAAAGAAATAATATGAAATACTGCGGAAACTACGTGAAATGAAAATAATCGAGAGCACGTTGAACAAGTGAACGAAACCTTAATATTTTCGCAAGGTCCGAGGCCTCGAAGCTGACTAGATGCGTGAAAAGCATTTGGAAGCTAGGCCGAGGATTTTAAATGCATTATAGACCAGAATTTTTGACAAAAATATTTCGACATTCAGACGGAAGCGCAGGGTAACTTACACATCAGGGATAGCCGCTGACAAATCTACGATAGATACAAAAAAAAGCTACATATTAAACTATAATAAACGAAAAATGTTTGAACAGAGAGTATAAATCGCGTACAGATATATTTCATTTTTAATAAAATAATAAGGAATACAAAATAATAGAATCGAAAGCGTGCGAGTGTCAAAGGAAATGATACGGGAAGTAAGAATCTCTTTACAAAGCCCATTAAAGATGAAAACGAATTTCGATTATTTCATTCGGCCATTTTATTTCAATGATAAATAGACCGTAATATAAAAAATGTTCAGTGGCGAAAAATAAGGGACGTAAAAATAATTAACATATAAGTAAGTTCTCGTTTTTGATTTAATATAAGTCGTTGCGTAACATCGATACAATCGGAACAATAAATTAAACGAAATTAAGGAAATTTTAACGAGCGACAAGAATTTGTGGTCCCTCCGTGAATGAGATACAGCCTGTACAATACAAACTGATATTATTATTGATTATTAATACGGATATATAAATGAAAATATATAAATGAATATTATTCTATACACAGGGTGTTGAAAAAGAGTTTATAACAGGATAATGAAAGCAACCACGAGTCGCACGCACCCGCATCAAATTGCCTTTTTTAATTACAAGTTTCATATCCATTTCCCCGCTCATACTTGTCGCCTTCAATCGCGTTTCGACTGCGCGTGTACGCGATGGGAGTTGGTCAAATAATACGCTATGACCACGTATAACTTTTAGTTTTCCTCGAAAGCGTGTACGTAATTTATTGTGTAAGTCGATGATTGTTCGAACGCTAGTTTTGTGATTTGTTGACTATACTATAGTTCTTAATTTTGTCAGTTCCTTTTAGTTCATAAATTAGCGAACAATTGATGCGTGTATTATCAAAGCACAAATAACAAATACCTAGCTAACTATGTAAATAAATTACGTTAAATTTTATAGCTTAACCGATGTGTTGATCACAGATAATTGACAGATATTTTGAATAAAGCGAAAACCACTGTACACACCGAATACACTGCTCAAATAAAGGAACATTTCCACATGCTCGTTTTCATTATAATTATCACTCAAGAAACACACAACTCTCCCACTTCTTACGATAATCAGTTACAGCCCGAAGCACACGTGACCAAACAAACTCTTGACGATCGACCACTTGAGTTTGCGTTATCATGGCATTCTCCTGTAGCGTATGTCGAGCGTCGAAGCGCGTTGCGCGGGCGTGCGATTCCCGGCTGCTGTCGCTCTAATGGGATTTAACAGTTTTATAATTAACTCTGTCGAAAATGAAAGGGATCGCCGGAGAAAGGGGAAAGCGCGAGCAAGACAACCAAGACGTTACGATTGTGTGCGTTAGAGTGAATGCGTGTTCGCGATCGTTCGTGTATTACAATAACAATAATAATATTAATAATAATTACGATAATATATACATACGCGTCGAGTGCGCTCGTGTGATCGATATACGGAAGTAACCATAGACACATAATGTGATAGAAGGCACCACGTGCAGATTTCAGTATTATTTTGCTGTTATAACGAGTGCATGGGGATTAGGATATTCGCTTGGCGAACGTTCTTTAAAGGGATGAGCTTTCAACGAGGTTCATGCGTACGCGACGAAGGAACTTCGAATACGTTCATATTCAATGACCACTCCGAGAATATCTTTCTTTATTTTCGAACCACTACCATTTTTCACTCCAACAAAGCTTTGTTCGACTGCGCCACCTAATGTTCGTGTTGTTTCATAAATGTATTACCTATATCAATCATAAGAGGAATCAACATTGTTTTAATAGGTTATTAATATGTAAGAAAATTTAGACGTCTATCGGTGCAATTTAGAGACGAAAAAGTGACAAATACTGCGTTCGGCAATGTGTAGAAAGCAAAATATAAAAAGAAAATAATTGGTCTAACAAAAGCAGAGTCGTTCATAAAGAATTATATAAATAATAAGTTGAGTGTAATTATTGTAAGAAGAAACCTTCGAGCGTCCATTCGCTGTGTTTAAAAAGTGAAACTGCAGATGCATGTAAGACTGAATGGAAATCATATACAAAATATGTCGCGCGCAAAAAATGTGTCTCGGTTGATATGAATGATTTTTAAACGGTTGCGTCTTACGCGTATAAAAATGGGAAACACGTACGCGCGATTGGTTACTTTATTATTAAACGACAATGATTATTATGAAGTATAAATATTATATATAAAAACGTATATGTAGAAATGTTAGTTCAATTTTGAAGGATAAGGGGCGAGCAAAACAAATGATTAATGGAATCTAGTCGATCGATCAACGGTTGACCGGTTCGATTTTTTCATGAATTCATTGTTAAAACTTTCTCAAACAAAGAATCCAGTTAAAAGAAGTATCTTCGACGAGATTCAAAATTCGAAATTCAATTTGGCAAGCAAATCAAGAAAAAGAAAGGTTGTATTCCGAGAGTCTAGTTGTGAAACTGATATCTTTTATATCTTTCCAGCTGAAAAAAAAAAAAAAAGACGAATACTGAGAATGCATAAGACCAATCATCGTTATTGTCATGCTCATTGTCTCCGTTGTCAAATTCACAAAACTACATTTTCGCTCTCATCGACGAAGTAAATATCTGTAATTACATCACGAAAACGATTCAACAATATAGTTGAACGCTGATTTGCTCTTCGATGAACGGCGACGATTCTGTCAAAAGTGATATTTGAAAAGCTGAAACAGTATAGGAACCAGTGTTGGGTGCAGCAATCGTGCCAAGCATATCAACAATCAATTACTAAAATTACCGACACTTTTCTGGCAAGCGCTAACTTGAAACACTGCTTGTATACTGTTTCCCCGTAAATTGTCGTTCTACCGTTGTATAATACATTATCTAACTATCATTACCTTTACTGTATTACATTTGTCATTGATATTACGACTTCTACGTTATGCCGCATCACACGTACACTTAGCTACAATAGATCGTATAATGTGGAAGTACAATACTGGTTTGAGGGTAAAGCACTGATATTCGATGCAGTATTTGCTTGGCAATTCCTTTTTTAATTATTGATTCACTCGAGAAAATACTTATTTGTTTTAGAACGTTAAAGATTACAGTGTATGCGTCTACCTTCAACCAGAATTGGCACTTTTTCGGGACTCTGAGCGAAGAGAACCAACATCTTAAGTTCCTAAAATGATGAAATAGTACGATTATCCAACAAGCAAACGTTATTTTTATTGTTGAATAAAGAACGCAAGAGGTGAAATGGCAAATGAGACGTATACAATGCGATAATGTTGTTTTTAATTTTTTTAAACCGATGTACATAGAATCGAAACGCGCAATCGGTTATTTATTGCGTATTATATAAACAAATATATAGATATATATATTTATCTACATATGAATTTCGTATGACGTTCTTCGGATACAACCTTTGATTAAAAGAATGAATGAGTGAAGCTCAACAGATCTGATACAATTAGAAAAGCGACAGAGAGCTGCGAGAATTAATGGAGTGTAATAAAATAATAGAATTTAAAGATAACCAAGCGATTTTGGTATTATGAAGACGCGTTTTGTATTACGAAGCGTCGAGCAAATCTAAATGGCGCGCTAAGCGCGTAGTCTAGTTTACGGCACGCCTCACAGATGGCACGTATAGATTGTCGATAAAATCGCTAGCAAGTTACCGACACGTACGATCGATAAATTATCGACCATCGAGGACTGGCCATCGGTTGGTCGTTCGCCGGTACTCATTCATAACACAAATATCGCCTCACAGATCTATGCGAAACAGATAGACGAACAAGCTGCAATCTCACACGAAAAGACAAAGAAATGTTACTTATGCGTCGGTTGTGCAGTCACGTAGTTCCTACATCGTCCTAGCCTCGATTCAAGCGCATTTTCATCATCATATTCGTTGGTCGTTATTTCACTTTACAGTTTGAAAATTGCCTTGATACATCTAATTTGTAACCCACTGTTGGTATTCTTTCATAATTCATTCGAGATACATATGCGACGATTGTTAATTAGAGTGCAATTTTCAATGAGTAACATGATCATCGACCATGTGCGAATGAAAGAATGGATTAGATATTATTCCCACTTGCAAATGATGAACGATATATTTATAACGGTTACATGTACCATAAACAAATAATAATAATACTTATATTATACAGAGCCACCGACACCCAGTATATTTTTTACAGGTTTACATTGTATTACAGTTTATATAAAGTTTGATATACAACAACAATTATCTACCACAACGAAGCTAATGGATAGATCTCCAATGGCTTCTTCTCTGTACGATACTTACAATATCTTCCACCGAACATTCTTGAAGACATTTTTTCATATGCTTATTCCGCAATCTTTTACGACTCAACCTTTCGTTTGTCAAACGTGTTTTTCAAAGACTGACCGTATGTATGTACGTTTGTGTGGAATTCAAACTTTTACATAAACTCGTGTTTTTTTTCATTTACAATTACTTCTTCGCTGCTCTTCATCTGTTATAACGAGAACGTGAAAAATATATCTTCAAGAATGTTCGTATCGCCGATTATTATATTATATGACGGATGCTAACTACATGTGATACGTTTTACTGCTGGTTACTACAAAGACTTCCTAAGCTCAAAGTGCATCTTGCACCACGACGAGCACCACTAGTTCACTCACGCACACACAAATTCCATGTTCGAAATAGCTACAGATGAACAATTTGATGGTTATAATGGATTAATTAACTAATTAATGAATTACATACGATATGCAGTTTGCAAGATAATCGAATTTTTTGACGAGGTGAACTCAGTACACCTTAAAAATGCGACAGTGAGATAGATTGATCGAATGAAAGTGAGCGATAACAATGCAAAGTTATTGTTTCGTATTATTTTTCTTTTTTTTACTTTTATCGGGCTCACGATAAACGTGAAAAAAAAATACATGCGCACGAGGCTAGAACGAGGCTAGCTACCTTCAAAATACCCTATCCTCTTTTACAGTATAATGCATTCACACCAATGCTGAAAAATCATGAATTTCTGGATCTTGAGCTAAAAATAATAATCATGCGAAAACTAATTGTTGCGAAAGCGAGCGAATGTTTGGACGAGTCGACAAATATAAAAGCACAGAGTAATTAGAGAACAATGATTGAAAAATCGTTTTTTATTTGAAAAATTACAAAAGGATATTTGCGCGAAACAATTTGAAAATTGAAAAATAACTCTTTTCATGAGGTATCGATTTTGTAAAGTCGATCATCACCTGCCCGCCCTTGTAATGAGAATTATTAATATTAACCCCAATAAATTGTAAATACAATTGTAATATCATTTTAATTATTTCTTACCTGCCACCATCGACATCATGATACTTTTTTACTCGGTTTTCTTTTTATGTTACTGATATAAAGATATATTACTTGAGTATCAAACCTAACAAGAATAAAGTTTCAGTATAACAAATATTCTGAATTCGCTGAAATCTAATCAGACAGTACAAAGCACAGATTCCAAGTCTCCACTTTGCGGCTTGGCTCATTACGTGCAGTGATGCGCGAAAAATTGCGGTTGTTCGAAGTATCGAAACACGCTTAAGAACATGGAACTGGCTGATAATGTCGCACGTTTCGAATTTGAACCCTTTAAAGAGAGAGGAGAGAGAGAGAGAGAGAGAGAGAGAGAGAGAGAGAGAGAGAGAGAGAGAGAGCGTCGCTGGCCGACGACGACAAAAGAGCTTCTGCGGTGTCTCGCGACTCGACACTTGTCAGACTTCGTCCGATATCCTTCTGATCCGTGGCCCCCAAACGCGGATTCTCGATTAAGGAATCCTTGCCCTCGCTCGCTCATTTTTCTTGCTTCTTATTTTAATCCGAATCAAGGTGTGAAAAAAAATCGACGACTCGCATTTTTTTGCCCCACTTTACACTTTCGCTGACCAGATCACACGTCTCAATGGACTCGTGCAACTCGATATCTTAACGTTATTGTGGTTTTCTTGGTATACATTATTTTAACTTTCATTCTTAGTTTACTCTTCATCGATTAATGTTCGGTCACCATATTTCTACTGTTTAAACATTTTTTAAAACTCCATTACAAAGTATAATGTTTCATATCGTTTCTAGGAAGCAAACTGAAACTTAATTTATATGAATATTTCATGTAGTTCAAGCTGTGCAGGACAAAAAATCGTTTGAATTAATACATTATTACTATAAAAGTTTACGATTTGTCTTAGGAAAGATGTGCAAGATTACGGAGGCAGTAAATCAGAAGTCAGAATAAAATAGAGTATATTTATGTATAAACAGTGTCCAAGCACAGGGAAGGCTTACAGCAACTGAACTCCCACAAAGGCGAAACATACTATATAATGATTGAGATTTGAACGTCCAAGTCAGCGTCCAGAGTACACAAACAAAACGCACACACACACACAGCCAGTCGACATCATTGGAATAGTTCCTCAACAATTTGTTATAAATCGCAGTGAGAATAATGTATCATCGATCAATTGTCAAAAAATACGAAAAACTATCTGTAGCCATAATAAAATTGCAAAATCAACCACTTACCATTTTTACCATAATTTTTTTATTACATCTGACACAGTAGCATAGCATGTATTTAGAATCTTCCTGTGTGTGTGTGTATGCGTGTGTGTGTACCTAATACATGGAATTCTAAAACGCACTATTGGATACTAAGCGTCCTGTGAAGACAAAATTTCAATCAAGACTATATGATCGTTTAGATTATATCAAAGATACTTCAAAATTCAATTCCATCTTTACACTTTATAATAACTTGAGAAACTTTATTTATTTTTATACAGATCTAGATATTCTTCTAATATACATTTAGATTTAAAAATGTCTACTCCCCAATGTTATATGCCTTCGACTGAAATAGATTTTCGATTTCCTTGTTTTTATTTACGTTTTATCTACAAAAACTATAGAAAAATAAATGTACGAGTGTGATATTTACCATTTCGCCTAAGCAGCATTTTTGACAAGATGCAACACTAACATATAAATTATTTTTTTAAACCTGCTTTTTAAGCTACACAACTACATGTTTCAGTTGGTTTTCGCATCGGTCAACGGCCTAGAACGCACCGGATAACATATCGTGAAATACCGAAAATGTTGAAATTTGTTCTCTTATAATCATTAATTAAGAACGTATAGTGAAATGCCGAAAATGCCGAAATTTGATCTCTTACAATCATTAATTAA